GGGCTTGTCCGTGCCAGGGCTCGGGGCGCTCGGGCACAGACCCTGGCCTCTGCCCCGTGGGCTTTCCTGCCTGTGCCGAATCGAAACCCCACCCGGTCGGGCTGGAGCGTGTTGGCCTCCCGCCAGCCTGGCAAACCCTCTCGTGTCCCCGGGACGAGCCAGCTGGACGCCCTGCGGGTGCTTGTGACGGAAGGGCCTCCTTTCCTGTCACCGGCAGCCCCCAAGGGACGGGTGGGGCCCAGATGGGACGGGCTTGGGTGTCCCCCACCTCGCCGTCCCCCCGCTGCCCCCAGGTCCACCGGTGCACAGGCCTGGCCCCCTGCCCGGGCTCCCGAGCGCCCTCACCCACAGCCTGGGTCGGCAGGAAGGGGACTGGCCCAGCGTGACGGCGACCCGGCACTGCAGGGCCCTCGGGCAGCTCCGCCTGGCTCGGTGGGCAGGGGGCAAGCGTCCAGGGCTGGAACCCTCAGCATCTGCACTCGTGCTTTTCGTCACACGTGGGTTACAACTCAAAAAAATCTTCATAGGGGATCCCTGGGTGGTGCAGCGGTTTAGCGCCTGCCTCTGGCCCAGGGCCCGATCCTGGAGACCCGGGATCGAATCCCACGTCGGGCTCCCGGTGCGTGGAGCCTGCTTCTCCCTCTGCCTGTGTCTCTGCCTCTCTCTCTGTCTCTCTCTCTCTCTGTGATTATCATAAATAAATAAAAATTTAAAAAATATAAAAAAAAATCTTCATAGAGTCAAATAAACAGTAAAATGACAAAGTAAAAAACTTGAAATACAGTGAAACAAACTGACATATAAATAAAAGAAAGTGAAACGGTAAAATAAAACGAAAAATGAGATCACAAAATAAGGTGAAATAGAGGGGGGCGGGGTGCTGGCCCGGCCCTCCCCGGCTCCCCGGGTGCTCAGCCTGCGTAGTGACGCCAGGGCCCTAGGCCTGGGCGGTGGTGCGGACCTGGAGGGTGGGCCTCATGCCCACCACGACCTCCTACAGCGGCCGCCTGTGCCTCTGAGATCAGAGACGGTCCCAAACAGCCCGGAGGCTGCGGTGCCAGGACCCCGCTGGAGGCGCGCAGCTCGCTTGCTCCCTGCCCTTCGGCCCCAGGGAAGGGAGCCGGGTGCTCCGGCAGGGACTGGAGGGCGGGCTGGAGGGGCCGGTGGCTGCAACTCCTGGCCAGGTCTGGTCGGCCCTGACCTGCCGCTCACCCTGGCCCCCGCCCCGGGCCCGGAAGGAGGGTTTCCTGGTTTGGGGCTGGTTCCCTTCCACACACAATGCATTTCCGAGCGGCCTGGCTCCGCCTGGCCCAGAAACAGCTGCTGTGGGAGAGGGGAGGGGAGCCTGGAAGGCTGCGCTGCCCCACAGCTCAGGGCCTGCTTCACCTGTGTCTGAGGGGGCCTGCAGGATGTGCCGGGGCGTGGGCGGGGGCTGCTGCGCGGACACCGACCACGTGCTGCTGGCCACATCACCTGCCCCGGCTGCCTGGATCGGGTGGTTCCAGTGCAACTTCCTGTCGCCGGCTCAGGATTCAAATGTAGCCGTATGACCTGGGGCCACAGTATAAGAACAACGATGAGGACGGTGGTGAGGACAGTGATTGTGGTGGTGGTGGTGCTGCTGCTGCTGCTGTGCTGAGGGCTCCGAGTGCCACACTCGTACTGAGCACTGCACTATTGGTCGGTTGCACGAGGACACCCGCAGCCTGTGGGGCGGGCGGCTCTACTACCGTCTCCCCCACTTCACGGCCGGGAGAAGGCGGCTGAGTAACGCATCCAGTCACCAGTTAGGAGGCAGAGGAAGAGTACAAGCTTGGCTTGTGATCCGCATGTGGTGTGGACGGTTAAGGTTATCCAGAGCACCCGGGAGGGGAGAGTGAGGGCAGGAACAGGCGCACCTTCTGGAGTAGGCACAGGTGCACTCAGGGACCTGACGGCCCCCCCGCAGCTGCCGCCGAGCTCTTGGGGGCTGCCCTGGGCTCTGCAGAAGGGCACAGCCGGGCGGTGTCTTCAGGTGCCAGGTCTTCCTGCCCCACACGCCCTCTGTCCCTCCTGGCCTCTGGCCTTTCCCCAACCCGGAGTCCCCACAGGAGGCTCAGGAGACGATATACCCCATGGCAAGGGCGCAGGGGTCTGAGGGGACGGCTCAGCTCGGGCAGCCGGGAAGCGCGGTGGGAACAGACCGGCGAACCTCCGTCCTAGGGCCTCTCCGGAGCTGCAGGCGGCGCCATGCACAGCTCTTGGACGCCCCACAGTGGCTGCTGGGGACGGTGCAGGTGCCATGAGGCTGTCACTACCTGGGCTCTTGAGGCCTGCCCCCACTCCTCCCCTACAGGTGGCAGGGGCCCTACTGAGAGGCCCACCTGGCTCCCATCAGGGACCTTGCTCCCTGGGGGGACCTGTTCGGACAGCAGGGCTTCTTAAGAGGGGCTCAGCCAGATGTTATGGGCACAGAATTTCCCCTTGAAGAACTTGGCCTTGGGACTCTGTCCCAGAGGAGTATATACACCCATTCGTGTCCTAGTCTTTTTTTTTTTTTTTTCAGATTTTTTTTTTTTATTTATTTATGATAGTCACACAGAGAGAGAGAGAGAGGCAGAGACACAGGCAGAGGGAGAAGCAGGCTCCATGCACCGGGAGCCCGACGTGGGATTCGATCCCGGGTCTCCAGGATCGCGCCCTGGGCCAAAGGCAGGCGCCAAACCGCTGCGCCACCCAGGGATCCCGTCTTTTTTTTTTTTTTTTTAAGATTTTATTCATCCATTCATGGGAGACACAGAGAGAGGCAGAGACACAGGCAGATGCAGGCTCCTGCGGGGAGCCCGACGTGGGACCCGATCCCAGGACCCCGGGGTCACGCCCTAAGCCAAAGGCAGATGCTCAACCCCTGAGCCACCCAGGCGTCCCACCCTTTTCTTTTTTTTATTGTGTTAAAATACACGTAACATGGGGCACCTGCTGGCCCAGTTGGTGAAGCATGCAACTGTTGACCTCGGGGTCGTGGGTTTGAGTCCCATGTTGGGTGCAGAGATTACTTAAAAATACAATCTGTTTTTTTTTTTTTTAAGATTTATTTACTTATTCATTCAGAGAGAGCGAAAAGAGAGGCAGAGACACAGGCAGAGAGAGAAGCAGGCTCCATGCCGGGAGCCCGACGTGGGACTCGATCCCGGGACTCCAGGATCACACCCTGGGCTGCAGGAGGGGCTAAACCACTGCGCCACCGGGGCTGCCCAAAAATACAATCTTTAAAGAAATAAAACACACGTAATGAAAAACCTACCACGTTAACCATTTGTAATCGCGCAGCTCAATGGTATTAAATACATCACTAAGCGCTACCATCGCCAGCACTCTTCATTGTGCAGAACTGAAACTCCGTCTCCATTAAACGCTAACTCCTGCTCCCCTTCCCCAGGCACTGGCTACCAGCACCCTACTGTCCCCCCTGATATTGAGGGGTCTAAGTACCTCACAGAAGTGCAACTGAGGGCCGGGGTGGGGGTGGGGGGCTCAGCTGGCAAAGCCCCTCCCTTCATCTCAGGTCATGATGCGAGGACTCTGGGCTCCCCGCTCAGCCGGGCCAGCCGGGCGTCTGCTTCTCCGTCTGCCCCTCCCCCTGCTTGTGTGCTCTGTCCGATAAATAAAATCTCTCAAAGAAAAAGTGTGATTGAGCAGTATTTGTCATTTTTCGTGTATTTCACTCCGCATACACTTGAGCCTTGAGGTTCAGATCTCTCTTTTTTTTTTTTTTTTTTCCTTTTTGAGGCTGAATACTCCTCCTCTGTATGCGTGGACCATGTTTCCATCCATGCATCCACCAATGGGGCGTGCGGGTTGCTTCCGCCTCTTGGCTACGAGTGTCGCTGCTAAAAGGGACAAACATCCCTTGAGACCCTGCTTCCAACTCTCCTGTGCGCACGCTCCGAAGTGGACTTGCCGGATCATCTGATGACTCTGTCTTCGACCGAGGAACCGCCATCCTCAGCCCCTGCGGCGGCCGCACACGAGGCAGTGGTCCCGACTTGTCCAGGCCGACACCGGCCTTCACTCTTGCCTCCTCCTAGGTCTGATCCGCACCCCCCACCTACCGACCTCGACCTCGAGCGTCCTTAAATGTGCGCCTTGGTCGTTCGCACGTCTCGGGGCAGAGGCCTCCCGCACTCCTTCGCCGCCTCCTGCGCTGGGCGACGTTCGCTTTTCGGTTCAGTCCCCACGTGCTCTATTCCGGATACCGACCCCGTCAGACGCGCGATTCGCAGTGTTTCCTCCAGTTCCGTGGGCTGACGGTCTGGTCGGTCTTTTGAGAAAGGTCCCTGAGCCCCGGCGGAGGGAGAAGCGGGCTCCTGCAGGGGCTCGACCGACCGGGGCCCGGGGTCACGCCCGGGCCCGGGCCTGCGCCTGCGCCTGCGCCTGGGCCGACCTCACCCGCCGCCGGCGTCGCCGTCCGCGTTTCCGAGCGAGCTCGGTCGCGCCCGAAGCCTCAGGCTCCCATCGACGTCGTCAGGCCCAACGTCCTGCAGCCTGTGCCCGGTGCTCTCCCAAGGGCCCGTGGTTCCGCGGTTGCTCCGACTCCACACCAGCTGTGACGCAGGTCCCGCTCCGCAGCGGCGGGCGAGGCGCGCGGGCACCGTTCCTGCCCCAGCGCGGCCCCGCGGCCCCGGCCCTGCGCCCCCGGACGCTGCGCCCCCGGACGCTGCGCCCCGCTGCGCCTGCCGCGAGCGGCCCGGAGGGGGCGGCGGACGGTCGGCCGGGCTGGGGCGCGGGGCCTCGGCCACTTCCGCAGGCGAGTCCCAGGCGGCGACCCCCGCCCCGGAGCCCAGGCCGCGGAGTCCCCCCCGCCCCCGCCCCCGCCCCCGCCCGCCGGCCACGCGGGGTCCCGCCCTCGCCAGTCTGCGCCCCGCCGCCCCCCGCCCCCCGCGCGGAGGCCCCGCCCCGCCGCCGGAAGCGGAAGTGCGTCAGGACGGACGGCGGCGCGCCGCGACCCGGAAACACTCGCCCTGGCCCCGCCCCGCCCGCCCATACCGCTGCCGGGGGACGCAGCGCTTCCTTTCTGCGCTCGAGCTCGTGGTGGCGGCAGCAGGTGGGCCGCGCGCCGGGCCGGGGGCTCGGGGGCTCGGGGGCTCCGGGGCGGGGGCCGGGGGGCTCTGGAGTAGGGCTCGGGGGCCGGGGCCGCGGCGGGCGGGGCTGGGGGCTCCGGGGCGGGGGGCGGGGGCGAGGTTCGCGGGCTCCGGGGCGGCGGGCGGCGGGCGGGGCTGGGGCCGCGGCGCAGGCCTCACGGCGCCGCGGGTCTCGCAGGTGCGCCCTCGACATGCAGAACGACGCCGGCGAGTTCGTGGACCTGTACGTGCCGCGGAAATGGTGAGCGGCCCCCCCCGCGGCCCCCCGCCCGCCCCCCCCCGCGGCCCCCCGCCCGCCCCCCCCCGCGGCCCCCCGCCCCCCCCCGCCCGCTCACCGCGCCCCCCGCCCCCCGCAGCTCCGCCAGCAACCGCATCATCGGCGCCAAGGACCACGCGTCCATCCAGATGAACGTGGCCGAGGTGAGCGGGGCGGCGGAGGCCCGTCCTGTCCGGGAGGCGGCTCCGGGGGCGGCCGCGGGGTTGGAGCCACCGGCGCGCGGAGGCCTCCGTGACCCTCGCGGGCCGTTTGCAGGTTGACAAGGTGACCGGCAGGTTCAACGGGCAGTTCAAGACCTACGCTATCTGCGGGGCCATTCGCAGGATGGTGAGTCCTGGAGGCTTGCTCTCGGCTGCCCCTTCCTGGGGGTGGCATCGGCTGCGGGGCGGCAAGGACCCTCCCCGCAGAAGGGACAGGAGCGGCGGAGCGCAGGGGGCCGGGCCGGAGCGCCCCCAGCACCCGGGCGGGCTGAGGCCTGCAGGCGGCGCCGGCCTGCTCCCCCAGACCTCCTCCTGTGCCTTCTTCCAGGGCGAGTCTGATGACTCCATCCTCCGGCTGGCCAAGGCCGACGGCATCGTTTCAAAGTAAGAGGGCTGGCCTGGGTCCCGCGGGCCCGGACCTCTCTAGGATCGACGCTTTAACGTTTTTACTTTTATCCTAGGAACTTCTGACGGGAGAAGACCACGGCTGGGGGACATTTGTCGTAAATAAACAGTAAAACCCATTTGTGTTGGTTTCTTCCATGACCCTGGGCGTCCAAGAGGAGGGGCCCCTCCGCTGAAAGGAGGCAACAGAGTTTGTTGCAAAACCACATTTATTTGAAACCACAAATACAGGACTATTTGCACACATAAATCATGACATGTGACTTGACAATGAGGTCAGATAGCCACTTAGCGCGCTTTTCAATGCACAGGTGCCGAGGGCCACGGCCGGCCCTCCAGTCACGCACCCAGGCTTGTAGAGAACGAGGGCTTGAGGCTGGCTTCAATACTGGCTTTGTCGAGGGGACTGCTGAACACACGGGCAGCTCTGTGTTGACCACAGGATGCGCGGGGTGGCACGGGGTGGGGAGCTACAGGCGGGCAGGGGCCAGGTCCACGTGGGAGTTCCCAACAACGGACATGGGCTGGGTCCCGCTCCACGCTCCTAACCCAAGAACATCCTTGAGACGCCAGTGGTCCAGGCTCCTACCCGGGAGGGCACTGCACGACCTCGCAGTACATGTGGGCTCGGCCACCCTGCGGGGGACAGGGAGGTACTCTACAATAAATACAGTGGGAATACGGACTTGGGCTTCGGCCTCCATACTGCAGGCTCCCAGCTGGCCTGCGGGCAGACACCGGGCCGGGCTGCATGGAGTTGCTGGTGCCTGAGGGCCGTGGTGAGCAGCACTGGGGTCTCCTTTGTGCAGAAGCACATGTGCACACGAGTACGGGGGTGGGAGGCTGCAGCCCCCATGACCGGTTCGCAGGACAGTGGTAGGGAAGCAGCTAACTGGCCCAGCCAACGTCATTTTTGACAGCAGCTCACCCAAGGGGGAGACCCCCTCAGTCCTTCACTGTGCTCTGGAGAAGCAGGGCCGGGACGTGCAGGACGCCAAGACCACGGGCCCTGTGGGCATGTGGGGCACAGGCCTGCGTACAGGTGACGGCCACTACCCCTTCCTGCCTGGAAGAAGCTGTGAGCACGAACCCCCTGAGGGAGATGCTGCCGTGGGGGGCAGAGCTGTGGAAGAGCCTGTCTCCCATCTGCTTGAGGATCGACTGTGGCTTCAGGTCACAGCTTCAACAGATCTCACGTAACCAATTTTGTTCCCTTAAAAAGACCCATAGGACCAAATCCCAAGTAACAATAAATACACTGTTTTTCTCCGTGACAATATTGCTTAGGAAGATCAAGAGCCAAGAGCAAGCAATCCAGTCATCCTGAACGTCCAGAGTGTTGCAGGGTTTCCTGGTGACAGGTGAGGGGTGGGTCCCTCGAGGGGCAGGCCAGTGTCTGCGCCGAGGCCCGCTGGGGTGTGCGACACTCGGGCACCAGGATTTCACAGTGACACGATGCTTGGAAGAGTAAAGAAGGACACAAACTGGAGTCTGCTCCGGTTGCCTTAACGTAATGCCAGAGCTCCGCCTGTGGATGCAGGGGAGGCGGTGGGCAGCCCCGGGGCGCTGTGGGCTGCGAGGGAGCCAGGCCGTGGGGGTGCAGTGCCGCGTCTCCACATTCGGAAACCCAATACAGCCAAGACTAATACTTAATGTTAACTTCAGCAATTTCGGTGTTCGGTGGGTCTGGAAACCCCATCTCCACTGTGATGCCTGCAGAAGACGTGAAGGAGGAGGGTGCCGCAGAGTCGGGATGACCCTACACGGTGAGCGGCCGGTGCAGCCCGCCCGCAGGCACGTGGGGAGGAACACAAAACCTCCCATCCTGCTCCTGTGATGGCACAAGCAGGCCCTCGGGAATACGTGGTGGCACAGTGCGCTTTGGAAGGACACTAGGGTGTGAAGACGATGGCATCAGGCGAGCCCCCGCCGGGTGGGCGTGCACGGCAGCGCCCGGAACACCTCCTGGGCCCCAGTGTGTGTGTGCCTGCGCCGGGGCTGTCCCGGTGGCTCCTGGCACGGGGAGGCCAGCCGCGGCTAGCACTGCTGCGTGAGGCGTCTGTAATGAGGTAACACCTGGCTCTCGGGAAGGTAGAGCGCGAGTTCCAAGGCCACCAGCACCGTGAACTCGAACCCAATGAGATCCCGTCTGTTGAATCGAAACCTTTCTTCTAGCTTCTGTGTTGAAAAAGGGAGAAGGTTACGTGGGGCCCAGGCTCTGCCTCCCACCCAGGGCAGTGGGTCTGGGTGTGGGCGCAGGCCGGCCTCCAGGTGTCTGGTGGGGGTGCGGGCTTGGGGACTCGGGGGATGGGAGTGCAGGCTTGGGCGTTGTGGGGGGGACAGCGGGGTGCAGGCCTGGGAATGGGGGCAGGGGTACAGGCCTGGGCGTTGGGGGGATGGGATCATGGGGGGTTGCAGGCTGGGCTGAGGCTGGGCTGGGCGGTGGCAGTGGCGGCAGGACAGGGGTACTCACGTCGATGAGCTGCTTCACTTCGCTCCTGCGGAGGTCGCTGCTGATCTTGGCAGCCAGCAGCACGCAGGCCCCAGCGCACAGCTTGCGGTTCTGCTTGTTGAGTTTGCCCTGCAGGACGAGCTTCTCGAAGTACACGTAGGCCATGGACACCGTCACGGGCTCCAGGCTGCACTCCTCCGAAAGGTTCCGCATCTCCCGTTTTAAACTGCAGGTTTGCACGAGGCCAGGTGCTCACGGGCACGGGCCGAGGAAGCGGCCACCCTCTCCCTGCCCATGAATGGCCCTCTGGGCTGCGCAAAGAGCCCCATCCCCTGCGGGTGGGCATGGCCCAGCACTCGGCCCGCAGCATCCACCCCGCACTGAGCTGTACCCCTGGACCTACATCGTCCTCCAGGGGACACCACAGAGGACACGGTCCCTGCTGTCCTGTAGCAGCGAGGGGGACAACGTGGGGAAAAAACTGCCCATGGAAAGGCCCTGAGGCGCAGACAGGCTGATGTGCATCTGGACCTCAGTGGAGCCACCCCTCCCCGCCGGTGTGACGCGGGGACCAGAAGGACCCAGGGCAGGCACCGGGAGGCCCTGCTCCAGACAGTCCACCGCTTATTCGCCGCGAGCTCTCGGGCAAGCCTCCTCGGCCCTCGATCCCATGTGTCACGGGGGCAGCACAGTGCCCACCTCCCACGCTGTCACGGGCGTCAGGGAGGAGGACCAGCAGGTGCGGGTACGAGAGGCAGTGATGCAGCCTGGCCCGCAGAGGTGGAAGGCAGGGGGCCGGGGGGCTGCCGCTATGGGCCTGGGCAAATGGCAGGAGGGGGCCCTGGGTCTGCGTGTGTCAAGCTCAAGGACTCCCCAGAAATGGGGGAGAGAGGAACGGCCCATCACGGTGGCGGGGCCCCGAGACCTCGCTCAGCCCCCTCACCTCCTGATCTTGCTCAGCGTCAGTTTGATGTGGGGGAACTTCTCTCGGAAAGTCTCGTTCATGTCCTTCTTGAGGTCAGAGGGCTTCACGTACTCTATCACCGTGGTCTGCGTGCAGAAGGCAGCAGGGTGGGGGCCGGCCCTGCACAGCTCTGGGGCCCCCCCCCCGGGCCCTGGGGGCGACTTCATGCTGGCCCGGTCTGCAAGTGTGAACCTGCTGTGGCTTCAGGCACCAGATGTGACAATGATGCCCCAGGCCAGAGGGTGCGGAGTGCGCAGGCCCCCAGGGTGGGCCGAGGGCACGGTGGCCCTTGGCAGAGAGCTCAGCGGCCCTCTGGCCTGCCCACCCGCTCCTGTCCCGAGGCGCTGCCAGTGTCCTGGGCATGGGGGGCCCGGGCTGCCCCCAAACCACAGGGGTGTGCGGTGTGGGCATGAGGTGGCGCTCAGCGTACCATGTAAGATGCGAAGATGAGGACCCGCTTGTGCTTGCCGCAGGGCCACTGAGGGTCGTCCAGGAGGTTGGGATTATACTCCAGCACGTCGCCCACGTCAGTCCCTGCACGCAGACGGCAGCCCTGACCCACCGCGAGCCCCGAGCTCCGGCCCACCGGGTTCTGCTAACCCAAGCCTCAGAGGGAAGCATGCTCCTGGGGCCAGGAGAGGCTGCAGGCCGTGGTTCCCCATCCCTGAGGGCTGGGCGGAGGCGGCTGTCCTGACGGGGAGGGACCCCAGCCCCCAAGCCACCTGTGGACCCGGGCTCTCCGCGGCGCATGGTCAGGTGACACCGAGGCTGCTCTCATGGGAGCCCCTGCTCTCCTGACCCTGCACCCAAGCCTGGCGCCCTGCCAGCCATGTGCTGTCCCGCGCCCAGCCCGTGTGGCTGCCAGCCCTGCGCCTGGTCAGGGCACACCAGGCTACCTAGTTCCGTGCCGGTCGGTGCTGACTTGGCTGGGGCAGGTTTGTATCTGGACGCCGGCAGAGTCCGGGGGACGCTGGGCCGGGGCTGGGGCGGCAGGCCGTGGCTGTCCGTCTTGTGTGCGACCAGGGCATTGGTAGGGTACAAGAACTTGGCATAAGACACCACCTGGAGGGGCAAGGGTGCCTGGGCTCAGTCCCTGTCGTCCCCGGGCCCATGGCCCCGTGCCAAGAGCAGAGGTCCAAGCAAGCCCTGCCTGACCCCTTTCTGCTGCAGGAAGGGCCCCCACAAATGCCACCCTTGCCATCCTGTGTGGGATCCGCAGCACGGGAACCTCCTCCCTGCCCCTGAAGCCCCTGGCCTCTGACACTGGTGCAGACGTGGCACCGGGACACCATCCATACTCAGGTCATTTCTCGTCACTTGGCTGCTGAGCGAGGCGACAGGCCCGTTTCTACAGAGCTGTGTGGCTTCCTCCCACCGACACCGCGCGTTTTAGAAGATTCAAGGAGATGCCCCTCCATGTGTTTGTTGCCTCAGCGAGCACAAGCTCTGTGCCCGCCCACCCGCCTGCCCCAGCCGTGCACGGCACCCACACTTGCCTTCCCATCTGCTCCCAGCTCGACGCCTTCCAACTCAAAGACCATCTCAGAGGACACGGAGACGCCGCCGGACGGGTGCCTCTGCTTCTGGCTGTCCACCCTCAGGTCACTGCAACGCACGGTGGGAGATAGCTGCTGCCTTCCTCTGCCCCCGGAGGCTGCCTGGTGCCCCCCCTTCCCAGGCCCACGCGCTTCCCGTTAGAACAC